CCCTCTTGACTCCTCCTCGTCCTCCTCCTCCTCCTCCTCCTCCTCCTCCTCCTCCTCCTCCTCCTCCTCCTCCTCCTCCTCCTCCTCCTCCTCCTCCTCCTCCTCCTCCTCCTCCCTGTCCTCCTCCTCCTCCTCCCCCCCCTCCTCCTCCTCCTCCTCCTCCTCCTCCTCCTCCTCCTCCTCCTCCTCCTCTTCTTCCTCCTGGGATCGAGGGTCGAGGGCCGGGGCCCTGACCTGGGCCTCCGGGAGGCTCCTCGTCGCCGCGGCCAGGTCCGCCCTCGGAGCTCCAGTCTGGGTATGCGCCCCGGGAGCGGTCCGGGTGGCTCGCGGAGGCAGGGGGGGAGAAGGTCGGCTACTCGTAAGAGTGGAGAAGGAAACGAGACGAGGAAAAGAGGGGAGAGGGGAGGCGGAGGAAAAGAGGGGAGGAGAAGAGGGGAGGAGAGGAGGGAGAAGAGGGGAGGAGAAGAGGGGAGGGGAAGAGAGGGAGAAGAAGAGGGGGAAATGAGAGGCGGAGGAGTCGAGCGGCAGCGGGGGCAGCAGGGGGGCGGGCTCATCGCTGGAGTGACCCTTGGTGGTCCCCCCGATGGCTGAGCGCGACGCACCAGCGGCGCCTTGCGCGCTTGGGTTTGGCCACCTTGCGCCCCCTTAGTCCGCGCACCAAAGGTCACTCTTGCCCAGGGTCACTCTTGCGTGTTGTCGAGAAGGGGAGAGGGGGACGATCAGATAAGACACGTCTACAGCGCAATCCCCAGCCAAGGACTCGGCGAAAGAGCGAAAGGGGTCGAGGATTGGACGAGCTCAGCCAGGTTCATGTCCTTGCCCTCGGTTTGGTAGGGGTGCTCGGGCTTACCCTGACGAGCTTGCTCCAAGTTTGACTGACGGTGGGCGCTACACGAGGCGTTCCAAAAAGGTCTTGCCTTCGAGGATTGACGGAGTTGCCATCTCTTTCACGGCGGAAGGGCAGCGGAAAGTCGGCGGAAGTAGAAGGAGGCCGCCTCCGCAGGCGGAAGCCGGGGGCGAGGCGGCAGAAGCCAGCGGAAGTAAAAGATGCGCCCCCAAGAGATGACAGCATTTGAGGGGGCAGAGTTTCTGGAATCCGCCACATGCCCCCCCCCCCAAAGCAGGCTTCGGTAAGCCTGCCGAGCCATCGGAGGAGAGGGAGGAGCAGAGGGGGAGAAGAGAGGCGAAGAGATGAGAGGGAAAGAGAGGGGAGGAAACGAGACGAGGAAAAGAGGGGAGAGGGGAGGCGGAGGAAAAGAGGGGAGGAGAAGAGGGGAGGAGAGGAGGGAGAAGAGGGGAGGAGAAGAGAGGGAGGAGAAGAGGGGGAGAGGAGAGGCGGAGGAGTCGAGCGGCAGCGGGGGCAGCAGGGGGGCGGAGGAGGAGGAGGGTCACCGGGAGGGGGGGATGGGGCCGTGGGGGTGGGGGAGCGGCCGCACGGGCGAAGGGGCCCAGAGCAGAGCCCTTTCTGCTCCTTCTCGTGGTCCTCGTCGTCGTCGTCCTCGTCCTCGTCCTCGTCCTCGTCGTCGTCGTCCTCGTCGTCGTCGTCGTCGTCGTCGTCGTCGTCGTCGTCGTCGTCGTCGTCGTCGTCGTCGTCGTCGTCGTCGTCGTCCCTCGCGTCGTCGTCGTCGTCGCTACGTCCGCTCAGGCTCGAGTGCGCTGGAACTCGGGGCTGCCGCTGCGCTTCAGCTCGTCGGCGGCCAGCCCAGGGGGGGGGGAGTGAGGGGGGGCCGGCACTCTCAGAACGCTCGGGATGTCTCCGGCCTTCGGAGAAGTCTGCTAAGCCTTCCCCGAAGGCACAGGCAACTCGTCGGAGGGCCGGAGGGCTTCTGAGAAGCCCCGCCGCCTTCTAAGAGAGCTCTCGCCTTCTCACCTCCCCCCCGTCGCTCGCCGCCGAGTTCCCGTGGGATGTCTGCAGCGAGAGCTCGCGTCAGATTTCAGACTGGGGGTCGTCATTTTCATGATGGCCACGTCAGGCCAACCCGAGTCCCTCGAGCCCGAGTCTTACGCCTCCCCAGCAGAGCCTGTTTTTCTCCTTCTCGTCGCCCTCGTGGTGGTCGTCATCGTTCCTCGCGTCGTCGTCGTCGTCACCATGTTCGCTCACCGCGCAGCAGGCGTGGGGCAGCTCGCTAGAGCTGGTGGTCGAGGTGCCGGACGGGTTCGACTTTTCAGGTGCCGCTCCCCCGCTGCGCGGCTCTCGGGGTGAGCGCGTGATCAAACAACGCACCTGGACTCCAAGTCATCGCTCAATTTCCACATGTTTGGGGGTGATGAAGCCGGCGACCACGCCGATTTCGGCTGGGCCTGGGGCCATGGAGGGACCTTAAAAAACCCTCGTGCTTCCCCGCTGTCGTCCCCCTGAACGCTGCCGACGTCGAACACATGTTCCTGCGTGCGATTTTTGTTTGTCAGCGGCGATCGACACCGTCCCACGCGGTCGAACGGCGAACTTCCCGCTCGAGCACGCGCACGCGTTCGCACATCTAGAACAAATCTGCAGACACAACCTACAGCAGGCTCATCATAGATCAAAGCAGCCGCACACAGAAATTTCGGATCCCCCCCTGGCCGTCGAGGAGGTCTGAAGGTGGACGACGGCAGCGCTCTCGGGTGCCTCACAGCTGCGTGTTAATGTGTGTGTGTGTGTGTTTGTGTGAGTGTGTCTGTGTGTGTCTGTGTGTGTGTGTGTGTGTCTGTGTGTGTGTGTCTGTGTGTGTGTGTCTGTGTGTGTGTGCGTGTGTGTGTGCGTGTGCGTGTGCGTGTGCGTGTGCGTGTGCGTGTGCGTGTGCGTGTGCGTGTGCGTGTGTGTGTGTGTGTGCGTGTGCGTGTGTGTGTGTGTGTGTGTGTGTGTGTGTGCGCACCTGCCGCATGCGCGCATGCTTCTCGAGAGCACGCAGACGCATGACGTTCGCATGCTGGCTCGCGCACATCGCCATCAGCAAGAGCCGCACGGCACATCAGAGCGGACCTGCTTTTCGGAACCGTTGCGCCGATCCGCGCGAGCCCCCCCCCCCTGGAACGAGGACCACCTCGGGCTCGGGAGGAGCTCTGGTTTCTGGGCCGCTCCCCAGAGAGCCAGGTTAGGGATCCTCCTCCTCGTCCTCCTCCTCTTCCTTTTCCTCCTCTTCCTCCTCCTCCTCCTCCTCCTCCTCCTCCTCCTCCTCCTCCTCCTCTTTTGCTCCCTACGGTCGTCTCCTCCTCCTCCTCCTCCTCCTCCTCCTCCTCCTCCTCCTCCTCCTCTTTCTCCTCCTTCGTGGCCGAGGCTAGCCGTGGCCAGAAGTCGGCGGCGAGCGAGGGGGGCAGGTGAGAAGGAGCCGGGCCCTCTCGCAAGGCCCGGGAGTCCCCCCGGCCCTCTGAGAAGTGTTCGAAGCCCTCCCCGAGGACACAGAAGGCCTCTCAGAAGGCCCGGAAGTCCCCCCCGCCCTCTGAGAAGTGTTGGAAGCCTTCCCCGAGGGCACAGAAGGCCTCTCAGAAGGCCCCAGGGACTTCCCCGAGAAGTCCCGCCGCCGTCTGAGGAGGCCTTCTGCTTCTCGTTTCCCCCCCTCGCTCGCCGCCGAAGAAGCGCCGCTTCGTTCCTAACCTGGCGCTCCTTGTGTTAGCACGATGACTGTCGAGCAGACGTGGGGGGGGGGCTGCCTCCACAGGACTGAGCGCCGGAGGCGCGCCCCTCCCCCGCCCTCACCATCCTCGACGTGCGGATGTCTGTGGGGGCGGTCTCAGCAAGGAGGGGTGAGCGCCAGAGGCGCGCCCATCCCCCGCCCTCGCCATCTTGCCCGTGCGGATGTCTGATGCCCGCAACAGTGCGTTGCTTTTCGACTGCGCCTGTTCGAGCATACAGTGGAGACTCATGCCAAGAAGCACCCTGCTCGCCTCCAGGGTGCCCTGGGTTTCTTGGGGTTCGATGGTTCTGCTGTGGAATGCGTGGCGTTCCCATACCAAAAAATCTATTGACGTCCTGGGGTCTCATGGTTGGGTTTCTTGTGGAAGATTTCTTCTTAGTCGGGGCCCTGAAGAAGGAACCCTTTTCGTTGGGGAGGGGCTCCGTGTTCCTTAATTGTTTCGCAGTTTGCCTTAGATTTTCCTTAGGGTTTCGATACGAAATCGAAGTTTAACTTATGGGAAATAGGGGCCTCGTTCCTTATTTAGGGTTCCTTAGGTCAACGCCTCGACTGTATGGCCGATTCCAGGAACCCGAAGCCCAGACATCCTGTCGTCTCTCGGGGGCGTACACCTGACTTCCGCAGGCTTCCGCCGGCCTTCCGCCGGCCTTCCGCTGGCGGGGCCGCCCTCGTTCTGCTTCCGCCGCCCTTCCGCCGCCCTTTCCGCCGGCCTCCGCCGCGGAAGAGCTGGCACCTCCTTCGGCCTTCGGAGGCAAGGCCTTTTTTTTGGAACGCTCCATAATGAAATACGGTCGAGGATTCTTCGACGGCGCGTCACTCCGCGTAGTCTGGTCCACCACGCTTCGGCGCGGCGCGCCGTCCACTCCCCGGGCCCCGGGCGTCAAAGGTCCCCAGTCGTTCCGACTCTCCCGCCCCGCGGAGCGGAACGAGACGCTCTTCACTCGCAAGGCATGGCGTGTCGCTGGGGCCGCCGCCGCGACACGCTATGCAAAAGTTCCCGCTCACATTTGATGCCCGCATCAGTGGTTTACTTCTCGATGACGTATTCCTCAATGGCCTTGTTGGTTCAAGCTGTTCTGGTTCAGGCATGTCGGCCTGCGCTTGCAACAGCATGCCTCCAGAACGGTATCGTGTTGTTGCGAGCCTAAGTGGTTCACTATCGTTCTTGCTCGCTTCCGCGGGAGCAAAGTTTCGCACTGGAGTTCGCCCTCCCGTGCTGTCCACATCACGACTTCCTCAGCAACATGGAGTGGTCTCGTCAGCCATGGGTTCAGCAGCACTGACCTCCGAAGCCACCTCCGCGCAGCAGCGGCAGAGGGGTATCGTATGTTGGCCACGGTCATGTTCATAAGTCTGAAGGCAATGATTGGACCCCTCTCGTTCTTTCGCAGGGAAAGAGTTGGGTCTTTGATCGGTGCGGGTGCAAGAAGAACGCTGCTCGGCTCTACTATTGCAAGCACTGCGGTGCTAACAAAACGTCAGGCACCTCACTTTCAGCATGACTCGGCGCTGATCTGTTTCAGAGGCAGATGCGCTTGGAACGATCAGCGTGACGGGAAGGGCCTCAGTCGGGGGTGGACAGAACCCCCAACAGTGACACGTCGATTAGTGAAATGTCCGTTTTCGCTTCTCGAGAGGGCGCCGTGACCGTTATTTTCCAGGCTTGCGCCCGCCAGGTTTGGGCCTCAGGTCGTTTTCACTGAACCACGTTTTACTAAAGGGGGGTCTGTCCATCCCCGACTTAGGGGGGATGCAGGAACACAGCGTGGCGGAAAAGGTTTTGCCCAACCAGCCGTCGGTCAAAGTTCAGCCCTCCTCCTTGCGGCAGAGTGTGATCAAATGGCAATATTGTGTGACAAGCACGGTGGCAAGCAGCCGGCGGCAGCTCATCGAATGGCGTCTGAGGTTCTCGGGGTTCCTTCGACAGCCCCTGATATTCTCCAAGGACGTCTCAGCGAGGCTCACAAGGAGACGAGGGCGGGGCTCCTCACGATTCACATCAGCAGCGCCAACTCTTGGGGCACCTTCAAAGGTTGATTCAAAGGCCTACGCGGGGGCTCCCAGGCCAACGTCGTGCTTGCGCAAGAACGTCGCTTGGTTTCAAAAGAGGACCGGGGCTCGGTTCGCTGGGGCTTGGTTCGCCAGACTCGATTCGCACGGCTCGGTTCGCCGTGGCTGAGTTCTCTGGGGCTCGGTTCGCCCGATTCGGTTCGCCGGGGATCCTGTCGCCGGGGCTCGTTTCGGCGGGGCTTCTGGGGCTCGCTTCGCCGGGCGGGCGGACCCTAACGGGCGGGTCGGGTTGGGCGGGTGGACCCTGACGGGCGGGTCGGGCCAGGCGTGCGGGACACTAAAGTATGATGCGTCATCGAGGTAGCACGCGCGAGCCCTAAGGGGCGGCGAGCCCTAATGGGCGGTTCGGGCTGGGCGGGCAAACCTAGACGGGCGGGTCGTGTCGGGCGGGCGGCCCCTGACGGGCGGGTCGGCGGGCGGGCGGCATCCGCCTCGTCGAGGGCCAGAGCCAAGCGAATCGAGCCAGGCGAACCGAGCCCAGGCGAACCGAGCCCGAGCGAATTGAGCCGGGTGACTCGAGCGGGGCGAATCGAGTCGGGCGAATCGAGACTCTGGCGAATTGAGCCCTTGCTCCCTGCTCCCTCTCCGACGACGACGACGACGACGACGACGACGACGACGACGACGACGACAATGACGACGACCACCACGACGACGACGACGACCACCACGACGACGACGACGACGACGACGACGACGACGACCACCACCACGACGACGACGACGACGACGACGACGACGACGCGAGGCCTGTCCCTCCCCAGCCTGCCGCCATCTCAGCCAAGGGGCGGCGGCGAGGAGGTGGCCCGCCACGGGGGGGGGGCGGGGGGGGGCATA